TAACGCCAGCCGATTTAAATTTACTCGGTTTAGATTGTTTCGACCAGCTTAAATTAGCTGATGTCCCGGTAAATACCATATGCCACCTGGTATCACGAGCACCTGACCATGAAGCATATACGAGGAAGCTAATGACGCGGTTTTCATTCATTTTCCAATCTGAATTAGGTTGATGTTCTGACATGAAAGAGACCCTTCGGTTGAAACCTGGGTTTACGCCTGTTCTCCGTCCAAGAGACCAGTGCTTTATGCATCGTTAGCAACAGTAGATGAAGAATTGAATCACCTTCAACGAAAAGGAGTTATTAAACCTGTTTCTTATTCCGCTTGGGCAGCAGCTATCAGGATGGCCAGGGGCACGCAAAATATATGTGCTGACGTTTTTACAAGTCTAAATGCAGCTCTGGAACTACATGATTATCCTCTGCCAGTTCCTGCAGATCTGTTTACTATGCTGAATGTGGAACATTTTTCGCAAAGCTGGATCTGGCTGATTCTTATTTGCAAGTGGAAGTAGATGAAGCATCTAAAGAGCTACTTACTATCAATATTCATCATGGTATGTTCCAGTATAACGGTATACCTTTAGGAGTCAAGACTAACCCATCTATCTTCCAGCAACTAATGGAACCGTCCTATCACCTATCTCAGGGGTCGCGGCTTATCTCGATGACATTTTGATTGATGCGGCGACACTAGAACAGCTACATGAACGCAAGATATTCGGGCTACAATGCGTCAGTTTCAACGGGCTCCAGCCATGCCCAGAGAAGTGACAATTTTTATTGCAGTCGGTAAAGTATTTGGGTTTCATCTTTGATGCCAAGGACGTGGACCGGACCCTGAGAACACTCTAGCTATCAAACTGATCCCCACTACCACTAATGTCTTGGTATTAGTTATTATTCAGCTTTCGTCCCTCTGATACATGATATTCGCGCTCCATTGATTTGTCTATTGCAGAAGAACAGCACTTGGAACTGGACTAAAGAGTGTGACACGGCGTTTTGTAAACTTAGGTACATAATTAGCTCGGAATTGTTATAACACACTACTATCCATCCATGCCAGTCTTCGCAGCAGCAGACGCTTCAGCATATGATCTTGGTGCTGTTATTTCGCATCAGTTTCCAGGCACGTCAGAAAAAGCCTTTATGCATGCATCCCGTACACTAACCTCAGAAGAAAAGAAATATAGCCAGAAAGAGAAAGAGGCTCTTGCCCTTGTGTTTGCTGTGCCGTTTCCACAAGTTTTCGTACAGTCAAATATTCACGCTTCTCACAGATCAAAAGCCTCTGTTAGAAATATTCGGGTAAACATCTTGAATTCCAGCACATTCTGCAAATCGTCTCTGGCTATGGGCCTTGGTACTTTTGGGGTATGATTTCGAAATCCAATAACGACGCACTCAACAATTCGGTCAGACAGATGCTTTATCACTACTCATTAGTGATCAAGTTGCGGCTGAGGAAAACTTTGTAATAGCATCTCTGTCAGTGGGAGACCATGCGGAATGTTATCTGACAACCGCAATAGGGCATTGCTGGTGCCTGAAACAGAGATACAAAACGCTTTTAGGAACGACCCCATCATCAGGATGACGATGAGCTATGTCACCAACTGTTGGCCGCCTCAGAAGTTTGATGGTGACATGAAGCAGCTGCATCAGCGGTGGGATTCACTATGCATTGTAAACGACTGATTGATGTTGGAGTAAGAGTGATTGTGCCGTAATCCCTTCGCGTAAAAGCGCTGGTCATCCGTGGGTTTGAAGAATGAAATGCGTAGCCAGGAGTTATGCTTACTGGCCCCTAATAGATCAACACATCCCCGAGTTGGCTGGAAAATCCATGCGGAGTTAGCAAGCGACAAAGGTGAATGCCAACGTTCCGCCAGTTTCATGGCCAAAACCCGATCATCCTTGGTCCAGAATACACGTCGACTTCGCGGGACGATTCATGGAACTATGTAAAACCTTGAACGACATGGCTCAAAATCGCTTATAATGGCGCAGGTGCATTCATTCATTGTGTTCTCTCTAATTCTAACCTTTTGAATTCTTCTCAGCCTCTATCTTTCTCCTTCTAAATTTATCTTACTGAATTATACTTCACGAATCATATCTTCGCTTCCTTATCTTCTCGATTACTGCCAATACTTTTGAATTTACCTTGGTAATCTTTAAGCCTAGGGTAATGTGATAATTTTCCTACCCCTTCTTATTCTTTTCATATTACGTTAATTTTCTCTCTCCTTTATTTACAATTATCACCCTATGTCTCTTTGAACTTTTATTCAATTGACCTTTTATTCATCTTCATATAAAATGCCTTGACAAGTAAATATGTGTGACCAGATTGTTCGAAATGTATAGCGCAAATACATCACATTTTTCAGATCAATTACGTCTTCTCACTGTTCTATCAAAATTTATAAAAGGGACTAATTGTTTTAAATACTTTTACTATCGCTATCACTCTTGGATTTGAAATGACAGTTGCGTCTCTTTGCTTATGTGGTATGACAACTTGAACTGATGTACTTACATACGAAGTTTTGCGTTGTATCTATCTATCTATCTATTATTTTAGTACGCTTTTTTCGTGGCTCTAACAAGGACGTTTCTGTGATGTATAAATAAGCTGGATTTGTGTGTTTGTCGATCCTGTATTTCTGGCTGCTTGAAGAATACACTTTTCACGCCTTATCAAGTCTTCGTGATCTAGTCAGCCAAGGCCGGGATAAGCGGATTAGAATAGCTTATCGTGTCACTGTATAAATTGTCTGTGCTCCGTTTACCGAGTAAGGTGAACTCGCAATAGTTTCAAGCATATCAATTGATGAGCATATCACTGGTGCAAGGGATAAGGTTTTTGATGTCTTGTGTCGCATAACGTACGTGATCATCTTTCAGGTAACTTTCCTTTCTAAACTTGCTCAGCTTATCAAGTACGTGGGACATTACCGAAATAAGAAGAATCTAACACAAAGAAATCAATTGGTTTAGATTGATTGATGAAAAGGATGTTGGATAATAAATGAAGAAGCAGACACTGATCCTCAGCACGAGTTATCGATAGCAACCCTTGGATCACAAATTAAACAGATGGTAACAAGTAAGGTATTTAATTTGTGATGCATCTTCTTGTAGGGAACATTAAATCGGGCTGTACTGGTGTCGACGCAATGTCTTCTATGAGCTACATAGACTTTTTATTCCATTTGTCTAAACAATCACTAAGCTAATCGCAGAATGATTTCGGTGGTATGCGATGAATAAAAGCCTGAGGGAGTAAGCATACTTTTGTGTAAACTGTCAGAATTTCAAGGTGATAAGACATGTTTAATATCCTTTAGGCATTTTCATATTTGTTAATTCTCTCTTTAACCATGTTCATCTTGACTTCGTAGGATGTTTAATAGATTCTAACGGACGTTTTTGGATCCCTTAACACAATGCCTAGAAGCAGTGCTTACCAGAAATATTACTTCCGAGACGGTGGCCTACACGTTTGTCGAATGATGGGAAGCGAAATTCTGTTGCCCTTCAACTATTACTGCGAAGTATTGACGCCAGTTCGATCCTATACTTTTATACTGTCTTAGTGCACTCACAGGAACCATGCAATTCCGAACCACCACGTTCCACTCAGAAACTAACGGGTTTAAAGAGTGATTACGTCGACAGTTGAAAGCCTCACTTTCAGCTGCTAACCAGTCACGATGGACCGACACCCTTTCACTCATATTACCCGCATTTTGAAATGCAGTGAAAGCTGATATTGGTCACACTGCAGACGAACCTATCTACGTATCAACACTTTCAGTTATAGGAGAATCTGTGGATCCTTTGGTTTATCCAATGGATGCTGCTTCTAAAATCCTAAGTAGGCTTACAAAAGTGATGCTTTTAGTTTGACCTGTTTCCACTGCAATGCAATCAACTGATATGTTAGTCAAACCCACCCTAGGACCTATTCCCGACATCTTTTTGCGTCGCGTTGCATTATGTCGACCAATTGAAGCTGCATATGAAGTGCCCTGTAAAGTTCTTCATCGCGAACCTCAGTTCTACACCGGTCACAGTTGGAATGTTAACGTCCAGAACGAGAATGAAGTATGTTTTAATTAATCATCTATCACTACTAAAACTAGAACCAGCAAACAGATAGTAACACGAAACCACTATTTAACAGTTACAAGTTCCCTAATACATCAATATTGGCACGAAATCGACTTCAACCGTCTAAGTGACAATAATTAAAATAATCGTCATGCATTAACTCCGAATTAATACTACGAGTACTCAAATTCTGACGATTGTAACCTCCATTTATTGCTTCTGGTTAGACCTGAATCACGATATTTTTGATTGGAGAAATTTTAAAGACAAAAGCAATGCCGAATTCTGAAGTCCATAACATCTTTACACCTTTTCCAGTCGTCCAAGGAAAGAAAAAATTGAGAATGTATGTGCAACTTGAAATAAGCGAGCAAGCCTATTTGTTTGTGAAGATAAAAACATCCAAAACTTGTTTTGTGCAGGGATTTCTCGTAGAGGAAATACAGAGATTTAATTAAGTAGTGGTCGATGTGTGAAAGTGCACCAATTATGAATTGACTAGCTATGCTCAGCACGGCATGCTCAGACGTGATCTGGTATAGACACTCTGACGAGAATCTTCAGCCAGGAGTGCGTTCAATGACAAAGTCAGAATTAGTGTTGAAGATAGAAACAAATCCTTATTTTAGGGATTTAGATACTTCTACAAATCACTACAAACAACGACTGAATAGGTCTGAAAAATGACAGATTATTTATAAAAAAAATTTCACTTCTTATAACTTCCATGTGGCTGTTTCATATTCCCTCAGTGAATAAATTAGCATCATCAAATTGTTGACGTCTCTGCATCAGACAGATATTGAGGAGCGTTGTGTTTGGCGGTAGTTTTGACAAGTTTTGCTACACTCAGGAGCTTTACATAAAACTAACAAAATGCCTTTCATGCAAAGGAGAGTGTACAAAATGGACAAAATGCAGAAGGCGGAGGAGAGAATCAAGTCGAATCCCTGGGATATTGAGGCATGGAGTGTTTTGTTGCGTGATGCTCAAAGTAAAAAGATTGAAGATGCAAGGGAAGTTTTCGAACGTATTGTTGCCCAGTTCCCAGTAGCTGGTCAATATTGGAAGATCTATATTAATCAGGAGGTAAGTTAAATGCTTTACAACTACGTTTTCAGATGAAATCCAAAAACTATGAAAGGGTCGAAAAGTTGTTTCAGCGTTGTCTAGTCAAAATATTAAACATTGATTTATGGAAAATATACTTGCAGTATATCAAAGAGACTAAAGGAAAGCATCAATCTTTTAAGTAAGGCATGCGTTCAATCTGAATTTTTGGTTCAGGGAGAAAATGGCACAAGCATACGATTTCACTCTGGATAAAATGGGCCTAGACCTCAATTCCTATTCAATATGGGCAGACTATATATCTTTTTTGCGTTCAACGTGAGTATTTTTCGGTTTTTGCGACAACCTTCCCGTCTGACTCAGTTTTCGGTCCGAACGACTAGTGATCATTTGGTTCTTACTGTCACTTCAGTAATTCTTCTAGACACTGCTTATCAAAGGGTATAAAATTAGGACAAATGGTTGCTGTTTACGTTTGTTTTTATCCTAACAGACATTCAGCGATTCTTATATTCCCAGCCAAGAATTGCGTAGCAACAATGACCACATTATCTCTAGAAGAACCAAATTCAGGAATATTCCTGTTTAGTATCGTGTTTCAGCTTTTCAAATCACTTGAATGTCATAGTAATTAGGAAATAATAAGCATGTTTTATAGAGAGTTATAGGTTCCACATTGTTCTGATTTCGAATTCATCAATAAGTTTGGCTATAACCAGATAGTGAAGTTATTATTATTGTTTGAATGTTTTAGCTTAACGATGCAAGTTTAAGACTTACCCTACTTTAAAAAACAAAGTATTATTGATGTGACTGAAGGTTTTAAACCTGATTCAGTCAGTCACTGAGTCGGAAACAACGTAGAACTTCGTATTTGCTTACTAAAAACTTGACGACCCTTATCGATCGTTATATATTCAAAAGCATGACTCATCACCAGATTCCCCAGAGTTACCCCGCTAACATTAAAGCTATGAAAACCATTTCAGTTTAATTTTGTCTAAGATATCCTTATCGACTATTAGTTGTTAAAAATGTTTGTGAATCCTTCGCCTTATCGAAGGTCATCGGTAAAATCATCCCTACAACATGCTGACATGTGTTTATCCACATTTGTTAGTTGCTTTGTGGATTAATAATTGGTATTTTGGGTTCTATAAATTCACTATTAAGTGATTTATACCCCATTCTGGACTAGTCATGTATAACGTAGAACTTGTTACGTTGGTATATCAGTCCAGGTTGTCATACCACATTAGCACAGAGACGCAATTGTCAGTTCATGTCCCGTCGTAGTAGAGTTAGTAAAATGATTAGGAGTAATCGGAGAGATTAGGGTTCGAATATGTTATTCAAGAAATATAATCAAGTGAAATAAATTTAAAAAGAGATAGAGGTGATGAAGAACTCAGAGGACTAGGATTTGAGAGGACACATAATGAGTACACTTGCGCCATTGCAAACAATTATGGGCCATATCACTCAAGGTCTCTAACCATCGATTGCTATCATCTCGCGGACCCCATGCTGGTAGTCTACACCTGCTAACACGGCTCATTCCACTTGTAAATGACTTCATGAATTTGTGCCATGTTTTGGTCTGGTCGCCCCTAGCTTTCTCCTAACCTACCCCTACACCATAGAATAAAGCCCGTTGAAACAGTTGGTGGTTGGGCGTACATAAAGTTGGTTAGGTAGCTGTAGATGTTTCTGGCTACAATTTTTCCTTGTTATCAAAAGTTTGGTTAGCAATTTACAGGTTTCAATGCAGTTAATCAATTACTGAGTAATACCATAAGAATCTATTTTCGTGTCACAAACTGATCGATCTGTAACTTAGTGGCTGTTCATTATGATCCTCTTAACTCAGCACCTATAATCTCAGGTTTTCTAGATCAGCTTTTATCCTCATTTGTAATTGTAGTCGTTTGAGTTAGTTTTAGGCCATCTCGCTACTGTTCTCTGAAAGGGCTTAAATGTTGTATGTGTTCCTCATAAGTGAGTTTTCTTAGGATCTGTTCATCGGATACGTTTTCCCTCTGGAATTTTTGAAGTTTTACTTATATCGTTGCATCCTTCTATGTCTTTTGACAAAGTAGTAAATCGACATGATTATTTTAGACATGTATGTTATGCAACTTATTGCTACATGGTTAACAGAAATGAAAACCAACATATATATGGCCAATTATTGAAAGGAATATTACTCGGTTTGAATGAGTGTTGGTACGATAGATATAATGATTGAAGATTAAGACATTAGCAAAAATTCAAATAACCTGAATATTAATTTAATGAATCATTAATGCATTTATATAGTAAGGATGAGTTTAATTTGGAGCATTTCGCTCCACCACCGAGAGTATAGGATATTCATACGTGACTAGTATTCAATCATCGGTGTCTTCAAAGTCGTGCTCTAATATACTGGGACCACTGAGTAAGCAATGCTGGTATTAGGAAACGGGTACTAGGTAAGGATTGTACTTTTTGAATAATTTCTTCGAACCCTAATCTTTCCGATTACCGCTAATACTTCTACTACTATGGGATTTGAACTGACAGTTGGATGTGTGTGTTAATGCGGTATGACTGATGTACGTACGTACGTACGAAGTCCTACTTAGCTGACTGACTGACATGTATATAGTTAGTTTTTTAGTAAACTGTATATTTCGTGTGATTTAATGGATGTATCTCATCCTGATTTCACGAGGTTTCGTTTTGATTCGATTGTTGTGAAAAGTACAGTCTAACTGCCATCAGACAGTTGCATATTTTCTTCGATTTTATTTTTTTTATAGTCAAGTTCAGGGTTCCTATGCAGAAAGTCAAAAAATAACTGCAACTAGACGTGTTTATCAACGTGCAATTGTTACTCCTATGCTTGGTATTGAAACTATTTGGCGTGATTATTGCATGTATGAAAACTCAATCAATCCTCTTATCGCTAAAAAGTTTACCGAAGAACGTAGTCGAGATTATATGAACGCACGTCGTGTGGCTAAAGAATATGAAGTGATTACAAAAGGTTTGTCTAGGACCATGCCTTCAGTACCACCCCAAAATACACCATATGAAGCCAAACAGGTGAGTCCTTATAGTATGTTATAATTTTAATCAATCCATTCGCTGAGTATCTGTTTATCATCCACCCTTTGAGAGGTAGTGACATTACCCGATTACCCAAACTGAACTAGCCGGAACTGAGTTCGAACCTGAAACTGAAGGTTCAGCTCTTTAACTACTAAGTCACCACATCGCTATATATTGTGCTGAAGTGTTTGCTGCAAGGTTACTATGATGTTCATAGTTCTCTGGTATCTAAAGGATCTTATTATTTGTTCACAGGTTTAAACCCCACTCCGCAAGATAGTTTGGCCTTCCTTGTTTGTTAGTAAAGTAAGATATACATAGAAATTAATTGTTTCCATATATTTTTACTGGTTTTTAGTTTCTGTTTGTCTGTCTAGGACTTTATACTCTCACTCAAATGTTTGGTGTTGTTATAAATGAGCCAACTCGAACCAATATATCAAAGTAGACGGTCAGACGGGTGAACATATCATGTCACAGATATTATATTTAATAGGTGTTTCAGCTTATCTCTATCATTGGTCGTACTGCATATCAAAGTAATCGTCTCTAATTACGAAACCAATCACTTGATCTGTACTCAGGTATCGATGAGAGTAGTTATTCAGTAAGCTGTTAGCGATAATAAATCCACCAGAAGACTTTGTTCGTCTTTTGAACACACCGATTTATAGACGGTGTACTTTGAAAGTCTGGGTTAAGAAGCCCATATCAAATATTTATTTACAATATTAGTCTTAAAAGAAGGCAAGATTGTGTCACTTCCTAGCAAATAACTTGTATTCAACTCTTTCGGTTTATTGCTTGAGTTTTTCGAGCGAAATTCTCTGAAAACTAAGTTATTAGTAGTTCTGCGTCTAATCAATCTTGGTCATACTTATTTAACTCATTTGAAACCAATATTGTGGTTACTCTATTTTATACTTTACTTTTAAGGTCGAACTATGGAAGAAGTATATTCAGTGGGAAAAAGATAATCCATTGAAGACGGAAGATATCATCACGGTCACGAAAAGAGGTTGTTAATGTTTTTGAAAGTATAGAAAAACTTTTAATGAAGCTAGTACTCCTTTTTGTGTAGAAAACCGTGGATCACAATGGCTTTTTGATTTCTACTCGTCCTAAATTTTTTAGTCATAAGTATCGGGTTACAGAACCTAACCAGAGTTTTTCACGTCCCAACAACTGTATGTTCTCTGTCGCAAAATTGCACTAGAAAACCATTTTTGTTCCAATGATCGTATGTGGTTTTTACCATTCATAATCCATAGTTTTTCTTTTATGTCAAATGGTGACTGAAACACCAAAATTTAAACTGAAAAATTAATGTATGTTAATAGCTCCTTATTTTAAAAAGTTCGAATTAGCTCATTGCTTCAAATCATTACGATCACTTTAGCTTGTTCAGTATTTCGTTATTTACAAACTAACGTATTACTTTTGGAGAGGATAGAATCATTCAATATTAAGGTTGTATAAAATATGGATAATAATAGGAAATTGACTCATCTTTGCTTCTGCGACTGATTTTGATCCATCTCAGCCTGTTTAACTACAAACAAACTATGTTAAACTGGTTCCAACCAGGAAGTCTGTGTTCTCAGATGGTTCACTTTAGCTTCATATAACTGTGCAGCTTGATACTGTCTTTGTTAGTGCACTCTTAGCTTTCCGTCGACCCACTCAATCTTATACCAGTCAGCATTGGTTGTTAAGGTAGGTGATGGTTAGATATTCATAACGCATGTCCCACTACCTCATTTGATAAAGGTGTACAGATTGATCGTTTGTTTAGCCGTTTCTTCCTTAAACCCAACAGCCACTCTCAAATCAACTTGCAAACCAGAGTGTTTGTTGAATTAAGTGAGGAAGGCCATCTCAACAACAATTTAAAAACCTCAACCTAAATAAATAAATCTAGCCTAAACACTCTTGTCAGCTGGTTAATGAGCGGAAACCTCACTTAATCTTTCATTAGTGTTTTATTTATTCAAGCACAGGTTAGTGCAAGAGCTGTGAATAATCATTTGAACTTGTAGCTACAATAGAAGTTAAAAGTTAGTAGAAACTGAAACGTTGTGGTATAATCATTACTACCTTCATAACTATTGTATTATTACGTCATCAGAAAATTAACTTGTCAAAATGCCGTTATTAGTTATATAAAAAATTAAATATTATTCTTTATTTACTTTCAGTTATGTTTGCTTATGAACAATGCCTTTTATGTCTTGGACATCATCCAGATATATGGTATGAAGCTGCTAGCTACTTGGATCATGCTAGCAAAGTTTTAGTTGAAAAAGGAGTACGTAATTATCGTGTCCTTAGTGTGTAATATTCATTAGTCACCCAAATAGTAATTAATTTTATCTGTTTATTGTGACTGAATAACCCAAATAAATTTCATGACTTTATTCTTGTGTAGTTTACATAATTTTATTGTCTTGTTTACCAATAATCGGTGTATAAATTCCACTGTCTCACCTTTATGTGTGTGTTGAAGTTACTATCGTTGTAGGGTTTCCCAGACTATTGTGTGGTTAGATTTTGGCTTTATTTGAAACGTAAACAACGAAGAAATTGTGGTCATCATACTATTTTGTCGTATTTTATAGTCATCTTTTATATTCTTAAACAATGTTTTCTGTCAGATTTCTTACTCGTTCTCGATTTTCGTTGTTGTATAAGGATCAAACAACAGCTCGACAATTTGCCAACGACACAGCAGCAATGTATGAAAGAGCTATTGCTTTGCTGAAAACAAATATGATGTTATATTTTGCCTATGCTGATTATGAAGAAGGTCGGTGCAAATATGCAAAAGTTCATTCTATTTACAAAAAGTTGGTTTCATTGGAGAACATTGACCCGACATTGGTGAGTGAGATAATTTTCTTTATGGTTTTTTTTATTTATTTTGTAAATTCGGTATTAGATTGTAAAGATTAAGCGCACTAACTTTTGATACTACTCACTTCACAGAAGACTAGTCACGTTTTTTAAACTTAAGATATTTCTCTCCGGTCTGTCTGGCATCAAATAAAAAACTTGAAAAACATTATCAAACATTTTCATCTGATATGTATAAATTTCAACTCATCTATTCAGCAGCAATCGAAGGAGACAGGTAGTCACTTAAAACTTGGTTTTGTATAGTTGCTAGTCAATCAGCACAATGTGAACAAAGTATTTTGAGATCGAGGTAGTAAATGGAACTTCGTCGTACTTTTGAAAAACTACTCATTTTCACGTTTGTAAATTAACCTTTTGTCTTATAAGGGAGTATATTTTCTCACCAAGCGATATATATATATTATCCTGCCATATAGCGAGATAAACGCTAAATCATCCATTTCTATATAGGAATCAGTGTTTTCCTAATTTACTAACATATAGTGGTATTTAATTGTATATTGATTATGCTGTAAAAATAAATATAGGTTGACTGCTTAATCTTAATTATGTCCTTTAATTGATGTTCTAGCCTTATATACAATATATGCGATTCGCCAGGAGAGCTGAAGGAATAATGTCTGCTAGATATGTATTTAAACTAGCTCGTGATGATTCACGCATTACTTATCATGTTTATTGTAGTGCTGCATTAATGGAATATTTCTGTAGTAAAGTAAGTGTGTATTTTATGTATATATATTCATATATATGATCTCTCTAATAAATACATGGCAATTCATCACATTTTTGATCAAGTCTTGGACAAGCTCGTAGTAAATTTATGAAGTATTTTGGGTTTATTTAATAGAGCTAAAGGATAGATAAAGGCAGCTGTTTTCAAGTGAATTAAACGTCTTCATGAGTGTTAGCACCGCAAGTATAATAAAAGCCAAGGGTGTTGATGAAAAGATTGAATGTGTGCCATCCATTGTGTTTTCTGATTACTGATTCGTTATCTTCATGAACTGAGTTTGGAAAAATCGTCTATATGAACGATCTTCCAAGTATACTGACAGTTGAGACATTAGGTATTTATAGAGCTTGTCCTTTTAAGACTTCTAGTGGTGCTTCAAACAACGGAGATGAGACAGTTGTATTGTCGCAAGTGGAAATCATTTTAAAACGCATCAAAATGAGGTACTCCGCATTTTGCAAATTGACGTTTCTGTAACTTGTGTTACTGCTGTGATATGCGATGTTCCAGATTTGAACCGTGATACGCGCTAACCTTCTAAACTGACTGCTTAATTGAAAAGGCAAGTGAAAGAGAGATAGTCTATTTGACAACTGAGTAATATGTGCGAATACTCGTAAAACATATATATATATATATATGTTTTACCCTCGTACAAAATGAATCTCGATCAATGATACCCATTCGCTCTTTAGGACATTTCTGATATCCACCTAGTGACTTCATTCAGCTGCTTACGCAACTCATCATGTTCTTAGCCAGACGGGATGGGTTTTCGAGCATCTATCAGTTCAGTAGATGTAATGTTGTCCACTACTTCCCCCCTAATCTTATGGTTTACCTTAATGGCAGATATAACTGCTGTTTCCACAGATTTCTGGATATCGTCTCAGGCTGCCTCAGGATGGGCATCACTTAAATGACTGCCTAACTGCTTTTCTAGTTGCTCTCGAAATATACTCTTGGCTTTTTTCTCGTTAAGTAGAACTGTAAGAGGTTTCCTTGGTGTGTCTTTCTTACGTCCAGTAAGCTGCAGACAAATTCCCGTTTGTATTAGAGCATGATATGAATCCAAACATGTGCTCCAGAATGGGTGACAGTGCTCTGTCGAGCCTGTCCATCGGTGTCTGATAGCAATGTGGTCTATTTGTGTCCACCATTGAGTCGACTTTGGGGTCACCTTGTCAACAGATGTTTTCCTTATGCTTAAAGCTAGTATTTACCAGACAGGTGGTTATCCGAGCATAGTTGCAGCAGACAGTTGCCATTATCTGCTCTTTGAGTCATGACACCATAAGATCCACCTAGGTGTCTTTCAGTTTCGCTTAGTCTACCTACTTGAGCATTGAAGTCACTCGCTACTAATACTACATCAGAGTGATTAAAATTTTGAAGGAGGTTGGAAAGCTTTCCGAAAAGATTGTCTTTTACCTCATTCGAGCTGCAGTCAGTGGTAGCATAGGCAGAGACAACGAGGAGGCAACAGTGAGTGTCCCTATGTTTCCGAGTTCTTACTGTCCTGTTTGATTGGAATGCGAATAGGCGACTCTCTGCTAGAGGCTAGTCTACGAGCACTAGTTGTGCTTTAAAACCTAATGCCATACCTTCACTAGCAAGGTCGCGGGAAGTAACAGTGCGGCTTCCTACAGGAATGAATTTTATTACTATTTTTATCCATTTGAAATCATTAATCAATCATCATTGTTAGACCACCATTAGAAACCTGGAAGCACTGGACGGCCGTTTCGTCCTAGTATGGGACTCCTCAGCAGTGCGCATCCACGACTCCTGCTCCTATTTTTATCATTATTTTTTGAGTAACATAATTTTTGAAAACCATCCAGTGATTTGTTATTTACCGTAATTGTTCTTCATCCCACAGCACTATATCATTAATCAACGACCTTTCTATGCTCTTTCTGATTGTGGTTTTCAGTCTGCAGATAGTCGTATTTTAAGGTATTAAGATTATCGAACATGAAGACTAGTTTGAAAATGTTTTTCCGTGTCTCTTTTTCAATCACTGGTAATTCATCGTGTACTTGTTTGTTTATTGGTTTTGTTTCCATTATGCAATATTAGGATAAAACTATTGGACATAAAATATTTGAATTGGGCATGAAGCGTTTCGGTGGAATTGCGGAGTATGTATTATGCTATGTTGACTTTATGGCGCATTTAAATGAAGATAACAATATACGAGTATTATTTGAACGAGCTTTAGGATCGAATCAAATTACACAAGAACGCGCACGTCTTATATGGGCTAGGTTCTTACAATTCGAATCACAGGTAAATAAATCATTTACTTCTCTATTTTACATATTTTTATTATCAAACAAAATTTCATCATGATACCTACTTTTAAATCCAGACGATTTAGATGAAACTGCTTTAAATGAAACTGCTTTCCAACTGGGCATAACTTTTTGTCTGTGTGAGAAAGGTTAAGAAGATTGCTAAATTCGCAACTTTATATCATAGATAGATTTTGTTTAGACAACTAAGAGAAAGCGAAAAACAATGGATATTTATTTTATCCTTGTATGGAACTTCAACAGTAAACCAGAAAGAAATCATCAACATAGGACGCACAGATGTGTGTTGACGATAGTTCTGCACGGTTATACTAGAAATTAAATCCAAGACCTTCAGATCTCGTGTCAAGCGCTTAATCCTTAGATCACTAATTTGGCACCCAATGGCTTACATTATCAATTTCAGTCAGTTCATACTGTAGCATGATTATTATCATGGCTCTCTCTGTCTCTCTCTCTCTCTGTATATATATATATATATATATATATATATATATATATATATATATATATATATTTGTAAGGGAGTTACGGTTGTTAGTTAACAATATGATATAACGTACGACAAATAAATAATCAAACATTTCAGATTACTTACTTAATCAATAACTTCTCGCCCCGCTATCGTTAATCTTACTTCAGTAGTTCAGATATTAAAGATACAAACCCTTTGCTAGTGGTTAAAAATGTTGGCAACTAGCCTGTTATTCAATATTTCAGGGAATAATTGATTGGGGTTTAGAGCGATAAGTGGTGATTTGGAGTTTCAGTGTGTTCATCATCACTGAGACACAGGTACGTCACTCTAACGAGTTTTTTATGGTTCCAAACTTGCTCTCTGAATTCCTTTGCTACCCACTATCTAAAGTGTGATCAACTTGCAGACATGCAATGTCTATGCTTCCATTTAGAGACCCCATATGCTGACAGGGAGTAGTCGGATAATAGTCTCAAATATCGGTTACGGTAAATCACAAAGACGATACTCAAATTCTAATCGCTCTAATTTTTACTTATAGTTTGTTAACAGTCTAAAAGCAATTCCTATTATTACTTTTATGGTAAATCGTAAAACATTAATAGGATGGATACTCTAATTCTTATTGATGACTGAATATTGCGAAGTATCTCGGTTTATATACATTTTCACAATGCTTGACTACGTGTTGCACAAATTTGTACGTTCGAATTAGGATGGTTAATACAAATTACAATTGTGTTGCTGAATGTTTAATTTCTATTATGGATCAGTGGCTTACTGATAAAAGCATTTGACTTTAAACTCAGTAGGTCGCGAGTTTAAAACTTACCTACTTGATATTTCAGTTTGGACAACGGATTAATACCAGTAGTCTTCACACAAGTTATAAAACTGAATGCTGAAAATATTATGCATGCACCCAGCAAAAGCGTTACAATTTTATTTTATTTATTTTCTTATTGCGTCATTACTATTGTTTTACAGGTCGGTGATTTGGCTAGTATTTTGAAAGTGGAAAAACGACGTTTACAGGCATTGGATAATTCAAAAGAATTTTCAAGATTAGAAACTGCACTTCTAATTGATAGATATCGTTTTCTGGATTTGTTACCATGTACAGATTCAGAGCTTAGATCGTTAGGATATCGAGTAAGTTTACATTCCGTTGTTTGTTTTCGTTTAGTATTGATGATTTTATCATTTTATGTTTAATGTAAATCTAATTTTAAGAAAGCACTATTTTATTTGTCTTTTAGGAATTGACTCGTTTTCAGTTGGCTGGAATCGGTAAAGGGTATGATGATATTTTGTGCGGTGTCATCTCTTCCCATGGAGCTGCTGGAGTTTCGTTAGGATCCACACTATCCGGTGTCTCTGGTGGTAGTGCAGGTGTAGTAGTAGGTGATGCTCTTAGTTCGACAATCAATGGAACTGATCCAAGGCCAACTTATCCACAGCCTGATGTCAGTCAGATGTTACCATTTAAACCGAAAGCTTATCCACGCACAGGGAGTCACCCAGTAGCTGGTGGTGAATTTCCACCACCACCGGCTGCTTCATCCTTACTGAAACTAATTCCACCGCCACAATGTTTCCATGGTCCATTCGTTGATGTAGATAAATTTCTGGAACATTTCTTAGAATTGGAAATTCCTGATGGTAAGTGAATTTAGATATGTTGATTCATATATTGGAATTTGTTTAATACTTAGTATTCATTCGTTGTTTGGTTATTTTATCATTGTTTTAACCTGCACTGATGTATCACATCACAGACTAACCTTAATTGATAAAGCGTCAAAAGTTAAGGACCACTATACAACTATTTGTGTTTGCTTGAAACTCTTCACTAATCCACTGCCTATGCTGTAATAACTCTGTTAATAGTATTATGTATTGTATTTCAACAAAAATGTTCATGTCTGCCAGATTCGGTATAAAGCTGGTACAAGCTAGTTAATCAACTTCTATGGGTATTATTCAGTGTAAATAACGAAGTTATCTAAAACATAATTTTGCCTATTTATATGGAGCAGTAATTTTGACAAGATTAAATGATCAGTTAAAAATTTAATAATAATCTTCATTGTATTATTGTCAGATAATGTAGCAATTAAAATTCTCTTAGTTATTAGACTTATTTTAAATAAATAGAAAGCATGGATAGCCTTCTCATTTGAACCGAAACGTTTGGATTTTAGACTATAATATTCGTAATGGATTGATATTATTGTCAGGTAAAAATTATACTTTGGCCAGTTCAGTAGCTGAATACTTTTCACCTTGTTAAAGACTACATTTTCTTTGTGAGGGTTACTGATCTTATATGGCTAATCAAACTGAAATATGTAAAGCTGGAGTTAAAGTTGCAGCTCAGTAGTCCGGATCCCAGGAAATTATCCTCAAAATGAATTAAGCTCCTAAAAAACTATCAATTTTGCAGTATATCCATCTACTTTAAGCAGAAGAGGATTTTTCATTGTAGACTTTGTTACTGTACGATTATGAAGACTTCGGTCCTTGCTTTTCTGCAGTTGCCACTTCACTTTAAAGTTATATCTCATCATATTGTGATATAAACCAAAAAGTCATTTAAATCAATCAGGGCCGGATAAGTGTTTCGTGGAGTCTTCTTATTATCAGTTCAAGTTATATGAACCCTGTTACGTTACGTCGTTTATGAATACAATAACACCGAGACTGGTATCGATTGATTCCAATCAGTGACGGAAATATTTCCACAAACCATATACGTGAACAGAATCATTTTATTACTTAGTGTTGATGTATTCACAGAAATATTATTTCCCTAGAGTTACCTTTCTTTTTTACTTGAGCTTTAATTTTTATTTAATGGTTGAAAATGGTAAACTATTTTAAACTCATTTCTGTTTTTGTGTCATGATGTCGAATAATGTTTTATGAAACATTTGGCTAGTTTTATTTATTTCTATCATGATCCACCTGTTAAAATAAATGTGTTTACAATTCCACTGTTTATTAATTTTATCAAGACTATATGGAAGTTGTTGCAGGTGAATCTGAAGAATTGGCTACAAGTATTGACTCTGGTACAGCTTTATCCATTGAATTGGCTAGTACAGCTACTTCGGCTGCTCCACTTTTGTTGGCTGCGCGTAAACGTCGACAACAAATAGCCTTAGACAGTTTAGCTGGGCATGGTAACCGTGCTTCTGTGGCTAATCAAGCTAAATTACGTAAAAGAACAAATCTAAATGCCTTTGGTGACTCTGAGGATGAAGAGGAAGAGGATGACGACGACGACGATGATGATGAAGATGAACGTGCAGCTGCCCTATTAGGTGGTCAAATTCTTGGCTCTGGATCAGAGTTAAGAAATCCTCTGTCAGCTGCCAGTCTCAGTTGTAGTGTGCCTATGGATTTATACAGGTTACGACAAATGCAAAGAGCAAAATAATAATTTTTTCTGAACATTTTCCCCTTTTAATGTGATCCAATTTGTATAAAGTCTTTATTCCCTTTAAAATATTGATAAGTTTTTGTAATTCAATTAATACATTATTGTCGTTTTTGATTCAGTTGTTTCATTCTTGTTGATGAAATGGACTTACTACATTTCCTACATAAATAGGTCTGCATTATTCTACCGCGTAAAATCATTGTATTGAAGAATATAAAGGTCATGTTATTTTCGTTGACAAGGTTTACAGAAAGTGTAATTATTTGGAGTTTCGCAACAGTCTGGTCGTTTTCATGTATAGAACGAACCAGTTAAGTAAATAAACTAAATAAAAGTGTCTTGTATCTATGTTATGTCGCTACAGATAGAAATTAATACAAATATTTATCATAGTAATGGATGGAAACGAAAGCTTAAAACACTGTATTTCTTTAAAAAAACAGGAATGTTATGAGGTACCATTGTTTGTATCGACAGTATAACTGTTAGGTCGGTTGTCTTTTGGTGCATCAATGCTTTAACTCCATGACCTGACTAACAAGTATTAAGATAAACGTTATTTGATGCATCTTTATATCTCGAACATTTATCTCAGGATGACTTTTCTTTTTAGAAGTTGAAAGGCGAGCACTTTCTGACCACTGCTGCAATACTATAATCAGATTACAGTGATTGGCGTCGAGTTTTTTCCATATTTCTCGCACATGCAACTGTATAGTTTGAATCTTTGTGTTTGTGGGGAGGTTACTGAAACATGTCGATCTCCCACGATAGTAGATTAGTAAAATGTATCCATCTAACCGGAGTTTGATTAGAATATTAAGCTTATATACCACAGGTTTAACTGGAGCGAGATGAATACTTAACTTGGGCAGTGTAGCATTATAGTTGAATAATTCAAGGACTTGAGGGACTGGCAACCATCAATTTCTGTTCTGTGAATAGTCTTTAAGCTTTACTGGTGATGTTTATGTCAAATGAAACAGTTTGATCTTGGTTATTGAGGATAAATCATCATACTTGGACAAAAGAAAGAAGATTAATGCTTTCTCAAGTATCAGTCCGACTCAATCAATAGGCAAATCACTGTCAGTTGTGTCCACCATTCATTAGTCGTCTTTAGTGTTAGTGACAATAGTTCGAGTAGGGTTCAGTGTTATTTTACCTATATCGACAACAAGGCATAGGGCGCTTGGTTGACTAGGCAACGTTAAGACACCATTCATGCTCCCTCTTATGAATCGAAACCAGTACCATACAAAGGGTCCACCCTATAAGACGTGTCCCTGGGCTTGGTGAGGGGATTCGGCAGATTGCCTTTAATTATTCACCCATCACCAAAACGAATGGACTTCGGTCTTTTTGATAGACAGCCATTTATAACCATTAGTTTGGAAGAGACCTATGATATGGTAACACTTGAAGTTCATAAACTGGTAAGGTATAGGATAAAAGTTCGTAATTGGGACTACCACTACTTTGTTTCAGTGAACTTAGCATCTTCCTCTAACTTTAGTTTTAGGTTCCTGGTTAACCCCGATCAGTCACTACATTATCTGGTTTCACATATAAACCTAGCATTTGTACATACGATAAACCGTTTTGCACTCGTTTGTAGCGATCTATTCGTTTTTGGAAAAACGAAAACTATATTTGAATCTACTATTAAGGTATTTTCACTCAACATAATACTGTAAAGCTTGTTGATTTTCGAAGTACATTAATGTGATATTTTCTAGTACGCGCTTCGAAATCGACGTGGTCTCGTTGACTTCCCTCCATTAAGAGGAAACGATGCATTTTTGGACACTATATTGGGGCATTTAATCACTGCCGAAGATATAAAAGTTTTCTATATTCACTGGTTGACAATATGAGTACAAATTCGGACAAACGGAATCAATCCAAGTCAGAACCAGTGTGCAGTACGCCTAGCTGTCCTGATCAGTTGCTCTCTTCCTAGTTGCTTCGGCGTTATACACACATTCATTCCATCGTAAACACAGGACTTGTGGACAAGTTAATGAATCGATGAGTAGTCGCTTATTAGAACGGTTGAAGGTAAAGTTGGAATTTCGGAGTACTTTCAGGTTCTATTCTTCCGTAGTTATCTTTATATACTACTAAATTCTTCCTTCCAAAACCCCTATTTCGCAAATTTTCCTCTCTCAGTCGTTTCGTTTTTCATCTCTAAATCTCTCAAGTATCATGTTAAGTAATAAGGTTGCTACCACGGTTCAGAGTAACTAAGGCATTGGTCAAGCCACAGGCCCAACACCAAATCAGCTGTCAGATGGACCTAAAGATCATAATCCTGACTGAAATATAACTGTCTCCTGACATTGCATACGACGAAGTGAGCTTGCGAGGCATGACACTCTTCCGAAGCGATAGGTTACACCAAACAGGAGGGTGAGTGACTGTATATATAAACAGCCATTTAAAAGCTGAGCGGCTATACTACACCCAACTAACTGAGGTAACGGAATCATGTTGGTGTTGTTTACACACAAATGGCACGAAATACATGATCATAGGAATTTACCGGCCTACCTCAGGTACTAAGGCCCAGAGAGATATCCCCAATATATCCCAACTTAGGTCCACTTATCTTCCTGATATTTGTTAATGATCTGTCAGACACAGTCCACTCGCCTGCGTTGATCTACGCAGACGATGCAAAGATCTGGGGGTCCATTTTTAAGCGAAGATTATTCACTGAGCTTCGAAAGGACCTCACATCCAATGAGGAATGAGCAGTGAAAAACGGTTTAAAACTTAACCAGCCGAAATGTCACGTCATGTACTTTATGCCCTCAAACGAGTTAAACCCCTAATGGATGTCCTCTTCCTAATGTCTCATCAGAGAGGGAACTCAGTTTATTAACCACTGACCACATCAGCTTGAACTATATAGGAGATGCAGTCCAGGTAAATGCAACTCCTCACTTTATGAGAAGACAACTTGCTGCTATCACCTCACAGTTATTCCCAAATCTGTGTTAAGTAACATTTTTCTGGTGAACTTGATTGGCTTATAGCAAGCTGAATTACCAAGTAACACAGACATAGCCAGGAGATTCGAGTGACATTTAAAGTACTTGTGTTGATCAGTGAACCTGTCAAATAATATAATGGCAAAAAATAGCTTGTATTGGGTATACTTTTATATCAAGTTCACTGGGCTTGTCCCAGCCTTCCCGTGTTGCTCACGTATTTCCACTTTTACATTTATTCGCTTATCTATTGGTCGTTTTAATTCAAGTATGTGTGTGCCACATATTTCGTTTATAGCGTGTCTGGCTTACTTTTGTTTGACTGTAAACGGTTAGTCATATTTCATCGCGTGTACCTTCTTGACTGATTCACTATCGTTGTAAAAAATCCCAGAACGAAAAACTATAGAAATTACAAAAGACTGAATGGACTTAAGTCGCTGCAGATCAGTTAACCTTCAAAAACTGCTATAAGGTGGAGAAAAGTCTGGTCAGAAAACAAGCGAGGGAACTTAAGCACATCTCAATTTTGAAGCGGTAAACTAAGCCCTATCGAAATCTTGTCAGAATAGAACATTTGTGAAGATGTCTAGCTTAAGAACGTGTTAGGAATAGCTACATAGCGTCATTATAACAAAAATATATACTGGGTCCCCAGGGGAAAAGCGACAGTACTCAATGTAATCGATTAATATATAGGATGCAGAAGGAGCCAATGGCAGCACAAAAGTGGGAAAATAATAGAATAAAACTTCATCAGGATTTATTACGCCGAAATACAGATTGGCGGTTTATCCCCAAACTAGTCACTAGGAAATCTGTGGGAAAGGTTGATTGGAAATATCAAGCCAGTAGTGAGAGCGATAGATAAGAGACAGTGTTTCATGAATGAAACACTAGAAACGTTATTTAGCGAAACTGAGATAATTCTGAACAAATGACCATTATAAACAATGAGGGACGATATTCAAGACCTAGAAGTATTACCAGCCAAACTAGAGTGAAGTACAATATCTACTTGATAAAAAGTTTCAATTAGTAGTGGAGAGCAGTGTGATTCAAGTAACTAGGTGCTCTAATATTATATGCACAACCTAGCTAAAATATACTGTAAATACTACACAGTTTTAGTGAAAATGAATTTTTAAACTGCATCGATTTAAGCTGTACGTTTTGTGCCCTAACAGCTCATTGACTATGGATTTATGATCACATGACATAGGATACCTCAATAATCTGGGGAGATTAGCACTATCTTAGTGAGTTGTGCAGTCGAGATATCTTCTAGAATGATGATCTCAGGTACGTATTGAATTGTATGTGGTCGTTTTCAAATGCTACAATTGATTTTCTCCAAGTAGCGGTGATACAGTGAGGATGCATTATAGAATATCTTTAGCTAGGATGTGTCTGGCTAGGGTATCTAGATCGGCATCAATGTGAGAGACTTGTGGAATCATTTATTTTTGCCTTCCTTAGTGAACCTGATATGATCGGATCATGTAACTTTACAGTAAATAAAAAAGAATGATGTTATCTGTTTCTGGACAGCCATTACCCATTACATTAAGGTCAAGAGTGAAATACTGGAGGGTATGAAATTTAAATTCATGTTTGTAGTACGTAAGTTTATATTTCGTCATTATCCCGAATCACAAGGTTTAAGGCTAATTAAAAAGCTGCTAGAGCCTTAAACTGTTGGTGAAATTTTATTTTCAGGTTCCTACTGTCAGTCAATGTTTACTGTGATTTTGAAATCAAAGGACTACGTCATAAAAATCAGCCAGGAAGTTTCAAAACCACTCTTGTAATGGCTCATGGGTAGTTTGCAGTCCATCGACTAGTGGCCCAGTGGTCCAGAGGTCAAGCGTTCGCGCGCAAGTCCGAAGGTCCCGGGTTCGAATCCTGCCAGGTGCAGGAGTCGTGGATGCGAACTGCTGATGAATCCCATACCAGGACGAAACGGCCGCCCAGTGCTTCCAGGTTTCTAATGGTGGTTTAACAATGATTAATTGCTGATTTCAGTGAGTAAAAACAGTAATCTCCATAACTGTAATTGAACAAACGTACAAGAATATCCCAAGAAAATAATCAAATTTTGAAGTCAGCTCTGCTACGTACACTATCAACGGATAAAATAAAGGGAAATATTGAGGAACGCCCTTGCAAACAGGCCACTGTTACATATGTAAAGACTATGGAAACTAGGCTCTTCACAGGTTGTTATGTGTTGCTATACTTGAGGTTGGAGTGCGCAAGAGTACAGTATTTATACGAAGCAGAAAATACTAACAGATTGCATGAAACTAGATGACTGGCAAACTGAAAGTTAAAGATAAATGCGTTGAGTGGCTCGCCATAAAAGACAAAAGAAAAGTTGACAATTATTACTAATTAATAAGTAAGACCAGATTCTGTGATGGCTATTTTCGCATAGCTTGTGCTTTATGATTCTGGTTACAGGAAAGTGTGAAGATGTAACAGGAACTCCGTTTAATATAGGAAGTCCTATGTGGTTGTATTCTTAATCCATTGATAAATACCACTTGTGGGCCCATTATACTACATCGAATATTGTTTCTTCTGTGCCAGCAGTGCTGATATGCCGACAAACTGTTTCGCGTAAATGGTTATTTTGGCTTTATTATGGTTGTATGTAAAGGCACATTGATAATGTTCACTGATACGATTTTTGATATTTGGAGATAGGTAAGTGTTGGCTGATTCGCAATGAGAAATTGTGATTACGGAAAGCAGGTTCGTTAAACAGTAAGCTGATCACAGTATGCATCTGCAGAGGATGATATCTTTGTGAAACTAAATAATTACCAATATTGCCAAACGATAATTAAGCTTAGAATGTTAATTCAGACCTACTGGAATTCGCGTGAACAGTAGGCAAATCCCGTGAATCACGTAGTCATGAAAGTGTGTATTTACATTCTAGCTTGCTACATTGTTTCCAAAATTTTCGAATATTGCCCTAAATATGTCACGGATATATAGGGCTTGAAATTATATTTGTTCTTTTCTGCTTAATAATCGAAAATTCTAAACACAGTCAGTCTAAAAGAAAGGGAAGCAGGAGTTCAAAGATACAATTGGAAACTTTTGTATCGATAGGTATACGGGCTAGACCAACTGTATGTTGGAAGTGACACCGAGACTGGCGTACGAGATAGTGATCTGGTGCGGATTTGTGATCAAGAACCTTTGGCTATGATGTGTCCTGTAAAACTAATTAGGTCATCATCATTGTTGTAGACTCAAGGAACTAGTTGTTTCGAGTATTTTTTTATCTACTTTTACCAGATAAGAAAGCTCATCAGGCAAAATCTTCTTTTATTCAGTTTATAACAATTTGAACTGCTTTTGGAGTTTGAAGATCTGACAAGATTGCAGCGGTCGTTTCGGTTTTCTCTAAGTAAGTTTATGTCCTCTCAGTTCATCGTTGATGATTGTTTAAAGTCATCATGTTTTTTTCCTTTGGCCGTTTGGGTGTTAATCATCAAAGCATCACAATTGATTTAAGATAATATTCTGCCATAGTAAATCATCTCTTGGTAATTAGATAAAGATTGGTATTACTGTTTCTTAGACCTTTAGCATTGTGTATTTGCAACTGCTCAGTCGTATATATTCCTGAGTGCTAATGCTCCCTCTTTCCTTGAAGCGTAATTGTACATTACTCAACATGTAATTATTGAAAACTTGACGACCCTTATCGATCGTTATATAATCAAGAGCATGACTCATCACCAGATTCCCCAGAGTTACCCCGCTAACATTAAAGCTATGAAAACCATTTCAGTTTAATTTTGTCTAAGATATCCTTATCGACTATTAGTTGTTAAAAATGTTTGCGAATCCTTCGCCTTATCGGAGGTCATCGGTAAAATCATCCCTACAACATGCTGACATGTGTTTATCCACATTTGTTAGTTGGTTTGTGGATTAGTAATTGGTATTTTGGGTTCTATGAATTCACTATTAAGTGATTTATACCCCATTCTGGACTAGTCATGTATAACGTCGAACTTGTTACGTTAGTATATCAGTCCAGGTTGCCATACCACATTAGCACAGAGACGCAATTGTCAGTTCATGTCCCGTCGTAGTAGAGTTAGTAAAATGATTAGGAGTAATCGGAGAGATTAGGGTTCGAATATGTTATTCAAGAAATATAATCAAGTGAAATAAATTTAAAAAGAGATAGAGGTGATGAAGAACTCAGAGGACTAGGATTCGAGAGAACACATAATGAGTACACTTGCGCCATTGCAAACAATTATGGGCCATATCACTCAAGGTCTCTAACCATCGATTGCTATCATCTCGCGGACCCCATGCTGGTAGTCTACACCTGCTAACATGGCTCATTCCACTTGTAAATGACTTCATGAATTTGTGCCATGTTTTGGTCTGGTCGCCCCTAGCTTTCTCCTAACCTACCTCTACACCACAAAACACTGCTCGTCAAAGCAGCGGTGATTGGCTATTCTTGACACATGTCCCAAACACTTCAAATGATGAACAATCACTACTTCATCAACTGATCTGCCATCCTTTACTAGTACCTGTTTCCTAACAACAGCATTGCTAACCCGATTGTCCGGGGATGTACAAGAAATGCTTCGAAGTCACCTGTCGTTAAAAACAAGGCACCTACGAATATTCTCTACACTTATTGGCAATGTTTCGCACTTATATAGTGGAGCTGAGTGAACTGCTGCACAGTAGACTCGTGCTTTGATTGGCAAAAGGATATCTCGTCATAGATTACTGAAGTTAGCAAAAGCCAATCGAGCTTTGTGTATCCGTGATGAGATTTCGTAAAGACACCATGCCTTCAACACCAGTGAGTTGTGGGTATAGGAAGGATTTGATTTCGACCGATTCGGTCTTGTGTGCTGTCACGGGTATGAGGGCGGTTGTCACTTCCCGGCTGCCCACACCGTGGAAGGTTGTTTCTTGAGGGACCTGGAAAGGAAGATAGATTAGTGTTGGTCTTGGAGACCTGGGAGTGTGACCGCAGAGCCCAAAGGACAACTGCTGTAGGCTGGTCACGCACGGCTTTTTTATGAGAAGTTTTTTGAGTGTTAGCTCCGCTATTGAAAGCCCTTAGTGGGCACCCTTACCGACGGAGATGGAAATCCGTGAGGTAGGGTGAGGTGTGACATTTTTAGGGTCGACCTTTTCTAGCCCTTCCTTCCTTGTGAGAAGGCAGCACCGCTGCAGATGCTGGTTGTCCGAGGGAAACACCTTACCACTGTCACCCCTCTGCAGTCAGCAATACGACTTCGCCCTCAAACCTGGAGTGGCTGCTTTTTGTCTCTTCGTTCTCCAGCCGACCTGACTGGCGTTGTAAAGCTGCAGGAACATATGTTCCAGCCAATATAGCTCGGTTGGGTCATCGCGATAGGCAATCCCGACAACCCCGTCAAGAGCAACGGTCAGGTCCATAAAGCTAGAAAGATAGGTTCTTTCGATTTGTAAGTATATAAACGTCAATTTATTCATGTCGAGCGACCTAAACTGTCTTCGTATTTTATTTCAAAAACGAGGCTCCAACTTTGTCAAATAAGGGAGCACTCAAACCAAAACAGCATATTTCTATACTTGATCTTTTTACTGCGGCTGGTAATACAATACTTCTATTATTGCTATCACTCTTGGATTTGAACTGACAGTTGCGTCTCTGTGCTGATGGGGCATGGCAACCTGAACTGATGTACTTACGTACGAAGTTCTGCGTTGTATTTGTCTGTCTGTTGCTAGTAATATTATCGTATCTACTGCTTTGGGAACATCTTGATAGTTTAAGTTGGCCACACTAATGTGTGTAAAATTCGGTGAGCTCCATATTGTTCCTGTCTCTAGCCATTCACGTATGAACAGGGAAAAATTTGTCCGTTTAATTTATCATTGTTAGTTGCATTAATTACATCGCACTTATCTGTTCAGATAAAAAATTCACAATTTTGAACGGAATCGTATGTTATTAACCTTGGATAGTTAAACAGTATTGCTCACGATTTGATATATATATGCACCAACTGAATAGCACTAACGTATCATTGTTTTGCTGTTAGTAATTGAGCATCATCACTCGACACCATGGCTAATCGCACAGTCAAAGATGCACATACAGTCCATGGAACGAATCCTCAGTATCTTCTAGAGAAAATCGTTCGAAGTCGAATTTATGAGTCGAAGTTCTGGAAAGAGCATTGCTTCGCTCTTACAGGTATGTTTAACCAATCTTTTTCTCCCTTTACTTTATCTTATTTAAAGCTGAATTACTTGTTGATAAAGCTGTGGAACTTCGTTATGTTGGTGGTGTGTATAGTGGAAGTGTTAAACCAACTCCTTTTTTGTGTCTTACACTAAAAATGCTTCAAATTCAACCGGATAAAGATATTGTTATTGAATTTATCAAGCAGGAACCATACAAGTGAGTCAATAGTTTATAAAAATGTTCTTATATTGTTCAGATACGCTCGTGCTTTAGGAGCATTTTATCTTAGACTAGTTGGTGATTCTGTTGAAATATATAAATATCTTGAAACGCTGTATAACGATTTTCGGCGTTTAAAATTTCAAGATAAAATGGGAAGTACGTTACATTCTTCAAAAAATCATAATGTAAATTTTCTTTACGTGCAACAGATTTCAGTTTAATTTACATGGATGATTTTATTGATCAGCTGCTCACTGAGGAACGTGTTTGTGATGTTATATTACCTCGTCTTCAAAAACGTGAAGTTCTTGAAGAATTAAATGGGTTAGAACCACGCCAATCACTTCTAAATGAAGATTTAGAAGACTTACAGTATGTTGAGGAGCTGGAAGCCTTGAACCATGAAGAAAATTACAAATCTAAGGATAAAGAGAAACACAGGAGACGAGACTACGGGAAAGAGAACCATCACCGACGAAGACATCGTGAGGAGTCACCTCATGCTGAACGTAGAGAGAGAGACCGAGATCATATATCATCAAGACATAAAGATCGCGAAGACTATGAACGTAAACACGATCGCGATAAAGGTCATAGGTAAGTAAAAATGATTGTTAACATTCTCGTCAAAATACAATATAATTTCTATTTAACATTATACTAGCCCCTCAGTAATGGTAAGAACATTTTCAGTAGTAACATTCTGACATTTTCACATTTTTCTGGTGGTCTTATCACTCTTGCGACTTCGGTTTTTATTGGTAAAACTTTTAATGACATCTAAAGGTTATCATTTAAATGACTAAAAGTGGGATGGTTAAATTTTCGCACATCAGCTCACCTCATTGTAAAAGGAGCAGCTTTAAATCATGCATTTGAGGAAATGTCTATTTCTGTAAGTCAAACTTACTAAGTCTTAGTAGCTCTGTCATGTCGCATTTAGTTTTCGAATGGTTTTTGTTTTAGTTGACAGTTGCGTTCCTAGTGTTCTGAAGTTCTACTAATTGTCAGTTATCGCGTTCTGGCGGATTTTGTATTTCCTCGTGGATGAAAATCTGTCCTAAATGGCTTGAAAAATCCAATTGATTCTGAGCTTATACTAGAATGGTCATTTGTCTTGATCTGCTTCAAACGTACAGTTGACTTGCTTACGTATCAAACTATGAAGGTACTGAGGTTATAAAACAAATATCACAAAATGAATAAATTCATATAATGGTGTTCATCACTTATGTTGTCATTCTTATATTTCACTCTCTATATTTTTAGACAGATTTCACGAACTGGCATTAGTTAAATTATTGCATTTACTTTACTTTTGCTTACTCCTGTTACCACTAATAGAGCATAGACCGCCAACCAGTATTCCCCAGCCTACTCTCTCCTGGGCTTTCTTTTCCAGTTCTGTCCAATTTTTGTTCATTCTTCTTATATCTGTCTCCGTTTCTCGGTGTAGTGTGTCCTCGACCTCTCACTTTACCTCTGACCCTGCGAATTCTGAGTGAGGGCTTGTCTTGCGGCGCAGTCGGGTGCTTTCTGCAATGTATGTTCTATCCACTTCCACCGCTCCTTCCTGATATCCTCCTCCACTGGAATCTGGTTTATTCTTTCCCACAGTAGGTTGTTGCTGATGATGTTTGGCCAACAGATCTGGAGTATTTTGCGTGGACAACTGCAGAGGGGTTTGACAGCAGTAAGGTGTTTCCCTCAGGCAACCAGCATCTGCAGCGATGCTGCCTTCTCACAAGGAAGGAAGGGTAAGAAAAGGCCGACCCTAAAAATGTCACACCTCATACTACCTCAGGGAGCTTATGCTCAAAAAGCCTTTGATAAAAAGGCCTTGCGTGACCGGCCTGAAGCAGTTTTCCCTTGGACTCTCCGGTTACGCTCCCAGGTCGTTAAGACCAACGCTAATTTACCTTCCTTTTCAGGTTCCTCAAGAAACAAACTTCCACGGTGTGAGCAGCTGGGAAGTGACAACCGCCCTCATATCCGTAACAGCACATGAGACCAAATTGGTCGAAATCAAATCCTTCCTACACCCCCAACATCCCTCTTATCTTCACGACTAACTCTTCTCACATTCCTTTCTCACCCAGCACCTCTGCTGCAAACGATTCGAGTTCCCGAAATGTTATTCCTGGTCTCCTGAAACCCAGTTCTAAAGTACATGTTGGAGCCTTTAATGTACGAACATTGTTTCAAATAGGGCAACAGGCTTCATTATCTAGGACTTTAGAATCTCGTGCCATCAATGTGTGCTGCGTTTCGGAAACGCGCATACAGGATCCCATTAGCGTCATTCACTTGACCTCACTACTGATACACTGGATAAGATTCAAAAAAGGAGGAACAAGAAGTCAACAATCAATATCACCCGAACAAGAACATAGGAAGTCAAGGAACAAGCTTAATACATGGAAGCAAACAAGCAGGTGAAAAGGAGCATCAGAGCCGACAAATATGTGGAAGATCTAGCATGGACGACACAAAAGGCTGCAATAGAAGGATACTGGAGACAATTGTACGATACAACAAAGCAGCTCGTTGGAAAATATCGTAAAGCAGAACGACCAGAAAAAGCAAGGAAAGCAAAGTAATCAGCAACATTAAAGAACAGAAAACCAAGTGGGTAGAGCACGTAAAGAAACTGTTGAATCGACTAGCCCTACCGAACACACCCAACGTCGAAGCAACACCCACGGAACTCCCGATCAATTTTGCATCACGAACAATTTGCAGAAATCAGCGTGGCCATCAGACAATTCAAGAGCGGAAAAACAGTGGGATCAGACAACAGTCCAGCCGAGGCAACGAAAGCAGACGTAGCAGTAACTTCCAAGGTACTCCACTTTCTGTTTGACAAGATTTGGGATGAAGAACCAGTACCAGCAGAACGGAGAGGCACAGTCTTCAGCAGGTTGCTGTTCAACAGAATGAAGTACTCCGTAGACGCCCGAATTCGAGATCAACAGGCCGGATTTCGTAAGAATCGATCCTGTGCTGACCAAATTTCAACATTACGGATCATTGTGGAACAATCAACTGAATGGAACTCACCACTCTACATCAACTTCATTGACTACGAAAAAGCATTTGAGAATGTGAATAAGGTGACACTATGGAGGCTTCTACGACTCTACGGCGTGCCCGAGAAGATAGTCAAAATCATACGGAATTCTTATGATGGATTAAACTGCAAAATCGTTCACAGAGGGCTGCTGACAGACTGGTTCAAGGTAAAGACCGGTGTCAGGCAAGGTTGCTTACTCTCAACCTTTCTCTTTCTCCTGGTGATCGACTGGATTATGAAGACGTCAACATTTGGAGGGAAGCATGGTATACAATGGACAGCCGGGATTCAGCTTTACGATCTGGAATTCGCAAATGATCTGGCCGCTCTATCGTACACAAAACAATAAATGCAGAAGAAGATGACTGGTGTAATAGCGGCAGATATCAACATACACAAAGAAAAGAGTCAGGTTCTCCAATACAACACAACGTGCGACAACCAAATCACACTTGATGGTGATGCGTTGGAGGACGTCAAAACCTTTACATATTTGGGCAGCATCATTGATGAGCAAGGTGGATCTGATGCAGATATGAAGGAGCGGATTGGCAAAGCGAGGGCTGCATTTCTGCCACTGAACAACATCTGCAACTCCAAACAACTACCAACAAACACCAGTCAGAATTTTCAATACAAATGTCAAGACAGTTCTACTGTATGGGGTGGAAACTTGGAGAACTACCTAAGCCATCATCCACAAGATACAATAATTTATTAACAGTCAGTCAGGTCTATCGTCGAAGCTCGTGCGTAAGTACATCAGTTCAGGTTGCCATATCACATTAGCACAGAGACGCAATTGTCAATTCGAATCCCATAGTGGTAGAGATAGTGGAATTATTAGTGGTAATGGTTAAGATTAGGATTTGAAGATATTTTTCAAGAAGGTCGAGGACACACTACACCGAGAAACGAAGACAGATATAAGAAGAATGAACAAAAATTGGACAGAACTGGAAAGGAACTCCCAGGAGAGAGTAGGCTGAAGAGTACTGGTCGGCGGGCTATGCTACTTTGGTGGTAACAGTATGGTTTTCGAACACATCACCCTACTAGCAGTAATCTGAGAATGAATTTATTTAAGTGACAATCGCACCACGCTAACTGACAGTATTGCGACATCTAAAATGTATTTGTGAAACAACACAACGTGCGACAACCAAATCACACTTGATGGTGATGCGTTGGAGGACGTCAAAACCTTTACATATTTGGGCAGCATCATTGATGAGCAAGGTGGATCTGATGCAGATATGAAGGAGCGGATTGGCAAAGCGAGGGCTGCATTTCTGCCACTGAACAACATCTGCAACTCCAAACAACTACCAACAAACACCAGTCAGAATTTTCAATACAAATGTCAAGACAGTTCTACTGTATGGGGTGGGAACTTGGAGAACTACCTAAGCCATCATCCACAAGATACAATAATTTATTAACAGTCAGTCAGGTCTATCGTCGAAGCTCGTGCGTAAGTACATCAGTTCAGGTTGCCATATCACATTAGCACAGAGACGCAATTGTCAATTCGAATCCCATAGTGGTAGAGATAGTGGAATTATTAGTGGTAATGGTTAAGATTAGGATTTGAAGATATTTCTCAAGAAGTATAATTCAGGCAGATAAGTTCAGAGCGACACATGTAGAGGTGTTGACGAATCCGGAAGATTAGGATTTGAAAGAACACAAAGAGTGGATGTACCTGCGCCATTGCATACAGTTTTGAGCCACCGCCGTAACATCAACTGAATTTATGTTCTATGTAGGTGATTATTTTAAATCTCACTACATAGATAGAGGCCTTTTGACTTCACTTAAAGTAACAGTTTTGCACTGCTTTTAATGGCCGGTTGAGTCCCATCAATGAAATATGCAGACATAGAGATTGGATTGCATGGAACTATCTTTTAGCTCCAATCTAAGCAGACTGCTGTATGATTAACCTCGGTCATCGACCGACTTAATTTTTTCAAAGGATATATGGATGACACATCTGTCATTTGTGATGATAATGTTGAATAGGTTTTTCAATTCATGCTATCCCTCCCTAGGTTTCATGTTAAAAAATAAGGCAGGTTAATCCATGTCATTTTCGATGTGTTTTTTTGCAAAGTATGGTAGATCCTTAAAAAGGTTTATTTATGGAGAGTAAACATAGAATGACCAATCGACTAACTTTTATATTTGGGTTCCACTAATCAGAAAGGGGAATTGAAAAACTTAAAACTAATACGAATTCACCCTTACTTGGTAAACGGAGCGCAGATAAATGATGTAGTGATATGATAGGCTATTCTAATCCGATTCTCCCAGGCCCCGCTATCAAAAGCAAGAAGTCTTGATAAGGTGTAAAAGATGTATTTTACAGCACCCAGAAAATACGAGGTTCTTAAGCACACAAATTAGTCTTATTCATACAATGATGGCAACGTTCTTGGGAGAGCCACAAAATAGCATGCTAAAATAATCCATTAACCAGTGACAGTCAAAGATTTTCCGAGTAGGAAATGTAAGCTGAAGGTCAGCTAGCAGCTTATGCGTGAAAATATAAAGAACTCAAAATTCCAAAATTAAATTGAACAATTTGGACCTTAACCAAGTGAGTTCTGGGGATCTAGCGTCTCCAGCAAGAATCTTATTCACTGTTTACACTACCGAATAAGCGAAATTTGTAGTACGAAATGCATCGATAAAGAACTTGCCTTACTCAAATACGTTAGCTGAAAATGTCTATCTAGGCCGCTTCATCGAGTAAGACATGAAAGAACGTCAGAACAATAAACCTAGAAATTTCTTTTCCAAGAAATATCTTTGCATGAATTTGGAGTTCAAAGGCTACCGAAATTCTGATGCACTTAAATTATCGGTTAATGATAGCGATAAAAAGAAGGTCCTATGTAACTAAGCGTTCACTAGTAGAAACTTTCTGTATTTGTAAGGGATAAGCTTCCTCATCTGTCGCCTCCATGTACATCTCTCAGTTTGCTTTCTCTTTTGGAACAAGGCCATATTCAGAGATTGTTTTCAACACTGTTCCAGTGTGGTTCTACAAAAGTATGAGGAAAGCAATTAAAAGTTTTATTCTTGAACATTTAGTCGGCGGCCGATGCTCCATTGGGGGTAACAGGCGTAAGTAAGTAAGTAAGTAATCACTTCACTGATCTACATGTTAATTTTAAGGTTGTTTATACGGTTTGTCTATATCTATCTACTTTTCTTCAAATCCAACTTCTTAAAACAGCAAATGCTCTTCTCATCCATGAAAAAAACTGGAACTGTGTGTACAAAAGAAGTTCATCTTTTATCCTTATCTTTACTGTGGCCTTAAACTGTTATTATTATCTTATTTCGTATTTTAAAGAATTTTCCCCTCTCTTTTTAATGATTTCCCATATCCTCGTGACTTTGTCTATAATTGTTTCTCGACACTAACATATTTCGTTTAAACCTCTCTATAACGTTTCATTGATGTCACAAAGAAACATTTTAATTATCTTACTATGTTTACATTCTAATCCGTTCCTAAATGATTATTAATTTTACAAGCCTTTCCATTTGCACATGCACAGTTTATGGTTATTATTTACACAGTATAATCTAGTAATTTATTCTTTCTATTACATCAATATGTTTATTTATATGTCCTCACGGAATGAATACTTATAACGCTTCAAATATATATATGACTACAACTTAATGACAAATTCGTTGAAAAGAGACTCCTGTGCTGAACTTCGTGTTTTTATTAAGTCTTGTCAAACAGAAAAGTATTGTTTCGCACCTAACGGTGACAAATTATCAAGGCAAAATTAGTTTTTTATGTAGTTGTCTATTTTTTCTAAATTTTTCTCACTATCGTTTTGGTTTCATCATTTCTTAATAGACGTAGTCATTCTGGAGATCGTCGAAATGGCCGGTCTAAACGTGATGATAGTCGTTCACCAGGTAATTAGACTAAGTATCTAATTATTGAGTATTTCTTTTAGATCATAAACGGGCTCGAGACAAAGATCGTGATAGACGGTATTAAATGCTGAAGAGACACTGATATGTTGTATATATTATGTTAATAAATACTTTTTTGTATAATCATGAATCACTTTAGTCTAGTAAATGTTTGAAGAGGTATGGTAAGAAATATATATATATATATATGTACCAGTGCGTATTTCTGGTTAGCGTTTTTTTAGCAAGTTATTTTTCTACAGGCCGGGGTCGCTAACCTCATGCCTAACGCACCTTTTGTCGGAGCTTGGGGTCGTCAATAGCCATCTGGAGGATAGGAGTGGATAAGAAAAACATTGCAGAAATCTTCCACTTGCATTACCACACAAGTCCTAATTTTGGACCCCCATAGTCAAAGAAAGGGAGGTAGACCGAGGAACACACTACTCCGAAAACCGGAGACAGACATGAAAATATCAATAATAATTGATTAGGTCTGAAAACGAAAGCCCAGGAAACAGTTGGTTGGAGAATGCTAATCGGCAGCCTATACTCCATCAGGGGTAACAGATGTAAGTAAGTAAGTAACTAGTATGTAGTTTCAGCAGCACCCAACCTATTGTACTTGACACGAAAACTGATATTTTGCTTTGCAGTTAGTTCAAACTTGAAGACTATGCATGGTCGATGTAGCAATTTTAAATGACATCAAAAAGTTCAGAAATTAACGTAATCACAATACACTCTGTCAGTTAGTCAACAACGACATAGAACTTCGTACATACGTACATCAGTTCAAGTTGCCATAATACATTAACACCGGGATGCAATTGTCACTTCAAATCCCAGAGTGGTAGATGTAAAAGTACGAGCGGTAATCTGAGAGATTAGGGTTCGAAGATATTGTTCGAAAAGTAGAACCGAGTAAAAGAAACTTGAAAAAAGAAGATAAAGCTAGAGATGTTGATGAATACAGAAGATTACAATTTCAGAGAACACAAAGGGTGGATGCACCTGCGCCATTGCAAACGATTTTTAGTCATGACGTTCAAGGTCTCTAATCATCGGTTACAATCGTCTCGCGGACCCCAACCAGGTAGCCTACATCTACCAACACCACTCAGTCCACTTGTCAGTGACTTCATGTATATCTGCCATGTTTTGGTTTGGCTGCCCCTAGCTTTCTTCCATCCTACCCATGCACCACAAAACATAGCTCGTCGAGGTGGTCGTTGGTTGGGCATTCGTAACACATTTCCCAACCACCACAACTGACGAAGTTTCAATACTTCATTTATTGATCTGCCACCCGTACCTAGCACTCGTTTCCTAATAGCAGCATTGTTTTCTCGGGTGTCTCACGATACACGAGCAATGCTTCTAAGACATCTGTGATCGAATACTAATAACCTAACAATATCTTCTACTCTTACCGGCCATGTTCCGCATCCACATAGGAGAACGGAGTGAACTGCTGCGCAGTACACTCGTCCTTTGGTTAGCAAACGGATATCTCACCTAAGCCATAAACGACGCAAATTGTCAAAAGCCAATCAAGCCTTCTTTATCTGTGATGAGATTTCGTCAGTCACCAGACCATCAGCACTGACAAGACTTCAGAGATAAGTGGAGCGGTCAACACACTCAACTGCTACACTCCCTATCACCAGTTCAGGTGCCGATGCAATCCAATCCTGAAGCAACATTTTATATTTTGAAGGGGAAAACCGCACATCCTGAACATGCTTGCATTGTTGCTTAGGGTAGTCAGAAGACTATGCGCCTTGTCAGCGCCATCAGCTAGTAGAACTGTCATCGGCATACTCTAAGTCAACAAACGAATCTCCTGGTAAAAGGTCCATTCCTGAAAGGTCAGACGATGATAATGTTGCCTCTGAAAGTATACCTACGACAAAGTTTGACAAGAATGGAGATAGTGAACAGCCCTGACGGACACCACTTGAAGTAAAGAATTCCGATGACAGTTCGCCATAAGCTCTAACTCAACCTGTAACGTTTGAGTAGAGAGCCTGTGTAGTTTTAATGTACTTCTCTGGTACACCTTTCAATGACAGACACTACCACAGAACCTCACGATCCACCGAGTTAAATGTGGCTTTAAGGTCGAGAAATACTACTATTGTGGGGCGTCGGAACGAGTGTCCTTGTTCTAGGACCAGTTGTAGTGTGAATATTAGGTCTATACATCCACGTCCAGGTCAAATACCAGCCTCGTTTCCTCTCATCTGCTCTTCACGAGCTCTAGTTAAGCGTCGGAGTATTATTGAGGCCAACATTTTAGAAACTGTATTAGTTAGACTGATTCCCCTGTGATTGTCACAAGAAGACTTTTGTCCTTTCTTGTAAATTGGGACAATCAGGGATTGATATCGGTCGAATGGGATTACTCCCAGTTCCCGAATCCTACCTAAGATCTCAGTCAGCCCAACTGCTAAAACTGGACCACCATCCTTAGAAATCTCAGGGGCAAGCCTATCAGGCCCTGCTGCTTTCCTTCGCCTTGAACTGCTCCCTAGTGTTCTGCCTGTTGACCCATTCTCCGTCAAGTAATCCGCAAACAAATTGCGGTTCATATTAGAGCATGATATGAATCTAAACATGTGTTCAGATTTCCTATGGCTTTTTCAACTTCATAAAGAGTCAGAAGACTTATATCGATTTCCCATTCAGGATGACTGGAGATGGTGGGCAACCGAAGTGTGGCTGAAGGCCAGTTGAACTGATCCCTGAAGTGTTCTGCCCAGAGATCCAATCTCCCAGATTGAGAGTGAATAATAGTTCCATCCTTTTCTGAACTAGTCTCACTTATATTCACAATTGTACAACCTGTATTCTTGATGAGTGGATAGTATTCTACTGTTGCCTATCATCACTGTCTATGCAATCTCGCTTCCGCTACCCACCACCGTTCGCGATCATCGCGTAGGCTTTTTGTCAGCCTAAGCTGACTCCGCTTCTAATGGTTCTCAGACCCAGACGGGATGAGATATTACTGGTGTTTGCGCAGCTTTTTGGACATCATTTCAAGCTGCCTCAATGTGGGCATCACTTAATGCATGGCTATCTGTTTTTTCTAATTATGTAGTGAAAGAGAACACAGGTGAGGGCAACCGAATTGTATTTAACGAAAATTACTGAGTTACACAGTAAAATAGGATAAGCAAAATCAAAGGTAACTCTTTCTCCCAATCTCCTCCTTTAGATGCTAACCATTCCTTTAGCGTCCGGCTGTTTCTCTCTGTAAGCCCGTTTATCTGCGGATGATACGGTGCAGTTCGTATCCTCTTGGTGCCAAACTGCTTTAGACGGTCTTTAAACTCGTCACTTTCAAAACAGGGCCTCTGGTCAGTTAATATCACCTTCCGTATTCTGTGACACGCTACAATATACCGGATTACCACTTCGGTCATTGTTCTTGCCCGCTGGTCTGTAATGGATATCTATCTATCCATCTATCCAACGTGTAGCGTTTACTAGTTCCCGCTGCTGGGACACGGCGGCAGGCACACTCTCGATAAATTGCGACGCCAACAACTGTGCCCCCGACACCCAATCCATACTCGGCAGCGCACGGCGCAACATAATCGTGAGCTCCACAGCCAGCACCAGTGCGTAACAATCGACAGACAACCTCGCCAACCGGAACCTCTGCGGCGCCTCTCCCCCAGTCCACTGGGCCGACGAACTCCGTCACTATTTGCCCCATGACCGTCTCCTCGGCGGCACCGTCCAAGCTGTCGAATACAGCCTTTGCCTCACCTCCCCGCAGCGTCCCCAGCACCATCAACTTCGCTCCGGGCCCCTTCACACTCACCATCCCCACCGCGGCCTCAAACTCCTCCAGGGAGCTCCGCAAATCTCCGTCGTCAAACTCCTTCGGCCATGGGAGCTCCTTCCTTCGTGCAGGCAGCGACACCAAATGTAGTGATGGAGAACACAGGTGAGGGCATCCGAATTGTATTTAACGAAAATTACAGAGTTACTCAGTAAAATAGGAAAACCATATCGTAACCGTTAATTTGCAAATCTTCAATCCATTGTCTGACATTTCACTATTCATGCGTTTCATACAAATTCCATTGTGTTCCCACTCTTTCTTTCTTGATCTTCCCCCATCTTCTGCTGCCAGACATTACGTTTTCACTCGCATCATATACTATTTATAAGTAGCGCGCACCACAATTGTACCTGAAATATACTCTTAGATTTGTTATCACCTAATAAAACCCTGAGAGATTTCTTTGGGATGTCTTTCGTCCAGTAAGCCTCCAAGAAATACACGCTTTCACTAGACCATCATCTGAATCTAAGCATGTTCCCCAGAATGAGCGACAGTCTTTTTTGGTGGCTGATGGCTATGTAATCTAGTTGACTCGGCTTTATGGGTCGCCAAGTCATGAGATGATTTTCCGTATGCTTAATCATAATACTCTTTTAAGTCATAATTCTAGGTACATTACGAAATCTCCACTGAAATAATAACTCATCATTACTCTGATCTGATTTTGCTTTATTACTTGCACAAACTCATTAGACAAAATCTCTCTAAAACTGATATTTCTAAAGAATGTTAACATTTTGAAATCAGTTCATAAAACACTGGTCTTCTGATATATTTCACCACAATATACTTTAGGTGCTGTCATCTGAAACTACGCATCATAGAAATGAAATGTCATATTCTTGAATTTTTTAATTTATGGTCTCAGTTTTGTACTAATAAAAAAGCAGCTTGCGAGGCCAGTCTCTTAGGGCGATATCAACTAAGTTTCACAAATACATTTTAGATGTCGCAATACTGTCAGTTAGCGTGGTGCGATTGTCACTTAAATAAATTCATTCTCAGATTACTGCTAGTAGGGTGATGTGTTCGAAAACCATACTGTTACCACCAAAGTAGCATAGCCCGCCGACCAGTACTCTTCAGCCTACTCTCTCCTGGGAGTTCCTTTCCAGTTCTGTCCAATTTTTGTTCATTCTTCTTATATCTGTCTTCGTTTCTCGGTGTAGTGTGTCCTCGACCTTCTTGAAAAATATCTTCAAATCCTAATCTTAACCATTACC